AGTAGGCTCATATGCAGCCTAAGGATGTGTGTGCATGTAGAGCGAGGTGTTGTGATTGGATCCTGACTGCAGTTTAGCACAAAAAAATTCTCACAAAGGCTCATGTGTCCGAACAGGCCTATACGAGAACCGAATGTTCTGGCGCAGTGTGGGAGGCGGGGTGCTGGCGACAAGTGTGTGCTGAAGCTTCTTGCACTGGGTAGCCGGTTTAAACGCGATGGATTTGCAAGTGACCGACCAGGTCGATGCGCGATTCGAGTGTGCGGCGTCAGTGAGGACATTATGACACTGTGGCTACTGAAGTGATGACGGTAGAGTTGGCATTGCTGGTAGTGGTACAGGAGGTGGGCTGGACATGATGATTTTGCGACGAACAGCGCTGCGTGGATATACATATAGCTGAAAAGACCCCTGCAGTGTCTGAATTCCCGAGGCAATGTGGGCAGGTGAGGCGTGGGTGACGGATGTATTTCGGATCCCAGGCACTACTTTGTTGGTCTCGGTGCGATGGACTGACAAGTGGCCGACTGGACAAATGCGTGATATGAAGCTTCAGTCGTTAAAGAGAAAGATCGGGATTAAGTCCATATTTCAGGTTGAATGGGAGATGGTGTTGATAGCTGGCAGTGCTGCAGGAGGGTACTCACTGGTTATGTTGGTAGTACTAAGCAACGCATTAAGAGTGCAACAGGCCAGACGCAGACAGCTGTTTCACGGCCGTTGCCGATCATCAGTACGTCATGGGCCCTATGAAATGAGACATATACACATGACAAGTAGGCGTGCTGTCCTCGTTGTTGTGATTAATATCTCACCCGATCCCATCCTGCCCGCCCGGCAGCCGACTACTGGCCTTTTGGTACTCTTATTGAGCTGCTTGCGTATTATATGTGTTAAGTGTACTATGGCACAACGCTCGTTGTCGTCAGTCCCAAGCTGACGGGCAGACAGGATAGGATCAAATGAGAACCTAACCACAACAGTGAGGGTCATGCGCCCACATGATATGCTGGTAGTAGGCGAGGTTTGGTCCTCCAGCCCCACTTGACTGACATCATATGGTTAACTAAATAAAACGATTTTAGAAGATGCGACTACACCGACTTTACATTTATCACACGTTCGCACCTTCCTTGCTATTTTTATCCAGCGAATGACCATGTCACGGGGGAGTGCTTAAACACCATCGTCGGCTACATCAGGTATCCGTTTACACGCGCCTCTCTGTACGTGTTCTGAGCTCTGCCTCGCTCCTTTGCCCTTCCTAATCTAGTGAGTGACTAAGCTAGGTAGGTTAACTAAAACTGTTTTTGTTAGCTAACTATATGGCATCATTTAAATGGGGCTGCAGGACCAAACCTCGTTGTCCGTCGTATTAGCTGTAGTAGTACCGTTTGCTGAGACGGGGAGCGGGTTTGCTGTGTTGGTATTGCACTGACTCAGCAGATGTCATACGATCCGTGCTCGGAACGTCCATTAGCAGCGTGGGCACAATGGCAGGGGCTGATTTCTAGCGTCATTTGTACATGACACTTGATTACCGCTGGCCTACCCCTCTGCCCTGACAGTGATTATTCAGTTGGCTTCCAAGACGACTACTCCAGTCTGTACGACAATGCGCCACGCCCGCCGATCTTGAGAAAGATCCTTCCAGGTCTCAGGGTTGATTTTCATGCGCTCAAGTGAGGTCCTCTGGGTGTCCTTACAGAAGATGTTTTTTCCGCCTTGTCAGCAAACACTCGCAGTGATATCGCTGTAGAATAGCCAATCTGGTAGGCACGCGTCGTCTATCCTCATAAAGCGGCCGTCCCATTGCAGTTGCTCTTGTCTCAGCACGGCATGGGGAATGAGGATGCCGGTTCTCCCCGGGATTTCAGTTTTGAGGGTTATTTTCTGCCACTTCTCTTTCTGTATTCTTCGGAGGCAACCGAGGTGAAAATGGATGAGTCTTCGTACTTGGCTTTCGTACACAGTCCACTTCTCCGCCTCGTACAGGAGCATTATTAGGATAACAGTCCTATGCATCCAGGGTTTGGTCTTGAGTAGAATGCCGCGGCGGTCCCAGATTTCTGTAGTCAGCTGAAGGCCTGATCGTCTCTGGAGATCTGACTTGTGGTGGAAACGAGTACGCCATTCTGCATCGCACAATTGGTCACAGAAAATCCTGCCAAGACTACCCCATTGTCCAAAAAGCGAGTCATTATCCTCTTTACTATTTGTCATACTATTTGTCATACTATTTGTGTGCACCTTTCCGGGCATCCTAGTACCATCAAGATTGCCTAGAGTTAATCGCGACTCACTGTCAGAGGCCTTTGCCAGATCAGCCAAGATGGTGCAAAGGCTTGTCTACATTTCCTGACAATTTTCTTGGAGTTGGTAAGCTCCGAAGATGTCTATGGTTTCGTGTTGTTCGCGGAATCCGTGGTGAGTTTCTGGTATAAGTCTTCGCTCCAGATGCCTGTTCGGTCGACTGAATAGTACTCAAGTGAGGGTCTGGTTGGCAATTCTGAGGAGGCACAACGGAACGAGTGAGTTCCTTAACGCGATCGGTGCACGCTCCTCTACCATTGTTTATCTTTCTCATCGCAATCGACAGAACACCGAGTCTGAGATTCAATGGCTAGAGCATTGTACTTCTGACCAACAGATCGCCATTCCAAGTCTCGGGGCGGGTATGGCTGGCTGATGACAGCCAACAAGCCAGAAGAAGCCACTGCAGTCTCCATTGTCTTTGTAGGTAATATTATCCTTCCAACGAAGCTTTATTCCGTCTGATTTATTCCAGTTAGTGCGCTAATTTCTGAGAGGAGGAAAAAGACGAAACTCGGAATTTGCGGCTGAATACCTGCTAGCGGAAAGGCGGTACTACGCGCCAGTTTCGCTGGAGCTGATGGAGATCAGATCAAATAGTCATATCAGCTAGCCTGTCAAACGTGAATGCTTGTTCCATATAATTCACTCTAAGTCCGAAGATCAGTTTCTAAGGAGACGAAAAATATTAACATATTGGAGCGTTATATATGCCGCATGGCACACAACAGACGCCAAATGAGACAGTGTTGTACCGAAACTAAGTTAACTGTATGAAACTCGACTGAACGAAGTTGGCGGATCTGCTTCCTGGGATCATAGGTAGTAGTCGTGCCATTCGTAGGGAAAACTTGTCACCGCCCGATGGCGACCAAGCGCAACAAAATCATGCCAATAAAGGACCGACTAGACACAGGAGAACAATCGGGTGTCGTCTATCAGATCCCTTGCCGGGACTGCCCGCGCCACTACACAGGATAGACCGGACGGCGGCTCAGCTCGCGAATAACGGAGCATAAACGGGCTGTCCGGAGAGGCGACCCGTTGTCTCAGGTCGCTGGAGGAAGGCCACGAATTTAATTCTGACATCAACTCCAATAACAGACACGTTGGTATACCGCTCTGCTATCAGGCGCTCCGTTCCCCCGGCCAAGAGACGAGACCTAGTTCCCAGTCAAGGGTGTACAAGTCACGACGTCATGAGACGGCGTGAACTCAGCCTTGTTGCGAACACCAAACCCTGCACTCCACCTCCCTTTGTTTGACTACAAAAGCTGCTCATCTGACGTCGCATTCTCACAGTCTCTGACGTTGGCCTCCTGTACGAGACCGAAGGCCCAGACTACTACATGTGCTGTCCCAGCGATCGCGTGTTCATCTTTGCAACAAGGACCTGGGACTCGCATATGCGCTCCCATCCGTAATAGGGAGTTCAAAGGCGTTCGCCTACTCTTCCCTTGATAAACTGAACTGAACTTGTCAATGTTTGCCTTCTGAGCGAATGGGAGTTTCTCGAGGTTACTACAATGAAGTTGATGGGTCTCGTCTCAAACTTTCATACCAACTTACGGTCTTAACGTTCAACGTTTTGTTCTGAATATTTAATTAGGTGCCCACACACCACTTTCTCAGAATACGCAGGATATTAGTTCAGACAAATAATGTGTGTTGCTGATAGTATGTTGGGTGTGGGAGTGCCTAGTTTGGGAGTAAATCGTGTAGGTGTGGTAGGTCGCATCATTCACATGCTGACTGCTCCGCACCGTCCTTAACTGGGAGCCAATTCTCATCCGTGGCTCCTTGAAACTGAGTTCTACCTAGCGGCCTGACTCCGGTAACCGCATCGACCGGTCGGTTAAACCAGATGAGGGTTTCCTGTGTTGTGTGTCCCCACAGCCCGTTCCCTTCGCCTCTCCCCCTTCCCACTTTCAAAAATTCCTACGGAGAGGACGATATGCAGTCCTGTAGTCGGCCCAGACTAACTGGGCTTCTTTCTCACTAAACCAAGTTGTGACCTATAGTGGAGTTTGCCAGTCATCCGGCCTATTTAGACAGTACTTTTTAGGGACAGTAATGCTTGCTCACTCGCAGGAGAAGGACAAGTAAAGGGGCCTTAAACAGATTCCGGGTCCATGTCTTCTGCAAGTATACCGTGGCTCCCAAATGCGAAATTCGCAATCGAGACCACGAAACGAACAACAACAACCTCCGCCCATATCGCTATGCCCAAACATACAAGCTGCCCGAGTGACTCTCCTCACTTTGACAGCCTGGAATGTTCGTTCCCTTTTAGGCAACACGGGAAGCAACCGACCGGAATACGAACGGCGCTAGTTGAGCGAGAACTGGGGCGCCACAAGGCGGATATCGCTGCTCCGACGAGACCCGCTTCTCCGAATAAGGTCAACTAGAGGATATAGGTGCCGCTGCACCTCCTTCTGGGACGACCACCCAAAGGCAGAGCGACGCGACGCTGGCGTCGGTTTTGCTATCCGGAACAGCAAGGTGGGATGGCTGTCCCGGCTGCCGCAGGGCATCAACAAGCGACTGCTGACCCTGCGCCTGTCTCTTTGGGGATCCACTTTCGGCAGTATCTACATCCACCAGTGACCGGCTCGGACGAAGCGAAGGACAAATTCTAGGAGGTTATGCTCACTCTCCTGACGACTGTGCCGAAGGTGGACAATCTAGTTGTCCTTGCTGACCTTAATGGCCGCGTCGGAGCAGACCACACCGCCTGGGAGGGAATGCTGGTTCTCCATGGTCTCAGTGGCTGCAACGATAGCGGCCTCCTCCTTTTGTAAACCTGCGCAGAATACCGCTTGCCCGTCACCTGAACCTGCCTGCTGACGTTGGTGAAGGCAGCGTTGATGCACTTCCGATCGCGGCGCTGGCAGCTGCTGGACTACGTCCTCGTTTGGAGGCGAGACCGACAGGACTTGCCGACGACCAAAGTAATCTGCGACGCCAACATCTGGACGGATCACCACCTCGCCATCCCCAAGATGAAGTTTTGCCTGCAACCTCGCAGGAGACCACAAGGTAAGCGACCATCAGGTAAGCTAATTACTTCTCTGTTGAATTTGCCTGCTCATTACTTCTATTTCAGCAATCATTTGGCTGAGTGACTGAAAGATCTGCAGGTTCCAGACGAAATCGCCGTTTTAGAGACACCGTAGCCGCAATCACGGGACCTCATCCATCCACTTTATCGCCCTGGATGTCCTCGGTCACCCACGCTGTCAAGACCAGATTTGGTTTGACGACAACGACACAGATACCAGCCATTTACTTGCCGAAAGTACAGACTACACAAATAGGCATTTACTTGCCATATTGACAGCACAGGTACTAGCTAAAAGCTCAGACACGCGTATTTCGCTGGTTTTGTGCCGCTGCCTGACGCAGCTGCGAGTGTCGCCGCTAATTAGTGGATCCAATCAGTGTTCCCTGTGTGTTTTCTGGTGTATAAACTCCAGTTTCATCCTGCCTTGTTTAATTTCCGCAGAAATTAATGGGCGACCTTGGAGTAACTTCTCCGAAACAGAACTTTCGGACCGAGCTTGAAAATGTCTCTTTCGAAGAACTTACTCCAAGTTCGCGCATTAGTTTCCTCGAAACTTAAACAAGGCAGACTGCACAGAGTCTACATCGACCGCCGAGCCGATGCAATCAAAACCGCCATCTTCAGATATCGCTGCTTGGTGCAGCAATGGCTGTGGGAGATGCAGGACGCCTGAATGGAACGCCAGGCCGAGGAAATGCATGGGTACGCGGACGACAATGAAAAGAAAAACTTCTTTACCGCACAGTCATAGGAACTATCTCGCCGCTCAACTCCGACGTAGCAACACTTTTCGCGGAGAAATCTCAAATTCTAAAGCACTAGGCTGAGCACTTTAGAACTGTCCTAAATCTACCATTCACGATTTCTGACGACGCCATCGGCCGCCCCACCCAAGTGGAAATGAACAACGACCTAGACCTCCAGCCCTCCCTCCCACAAACAATTAAAGCTGTGCAACAACTCTCCAGCGGGAAGGCACCGGGATCCTACGCGATCCCCGTCGAAGTTTACAATCACGGTGTCCCCCGACTGATGGACCAACTTCAAACGCTATTCGATTAGATGTGGCGCCGAGGATAACTTCCTCAGGATTTCAAGGATGTCACAGTCGTCCATCTCTGTGGACGAAAAGGGAACCGGCAACTCTGTAACGACTACAGAGGAATTTCGCTGCCCGAAATCATTGGAAAAATCTTCGTTTGCATCCTCCTCAACCGTCCAAACGGCCGTCTAGAACAGGGATTTTTCCAGAAAGCTAGTGTGGCTTACGACGACTCCACGAAACCACCAACATGATCTTCACCGTCCGTCAGCTGCAAGAGAAATGCCAAGAAATGCGGACCCACCTTTACACTGTATTCGTGGACCTAATGAAAGCCTTTGACACGATGAACCGCGACGGGCCCTGGAAAATTATGTAGAAATTTGGCTGTCCTGAACGATTCACACAATGGGCCGTCAGCTCTATAACGGAATGATGGTTCGCGTCATTGACAATGGGACCGTCTCAGAAACATGCGCAGTGACCAATAGAATGAACTAGGGCTACGTACTCTCTCCCAGTCTCTTTAGTCTCATGAACTTTGTCATAATGATAGACGTCTACCCTGACGGGCGTCTTGGAATCCGAGTTGTCTACAACACCGACGGTTATCTTCTCAATAGCCGGCACGTGCAGTGCCCAACGTGTCTCTCCACGGCTACTGTCCACGATCTGCTTTTCGCGGACGATTATGCGCTCACTGTCACGCCGAAGCGGACATGCGGCGGATCATGAACCCATTCGCCTCTGGCTGCATCAAGTTCGGGCTGGCCGTCAACATAGACGGAACGGCGATCGTGCACCAATCAGCACCAGAAGAGGAACATACCACGCCCATTAGCAAGGTGAATGGAACATGACTGGCATTCGTAAACAAGTTCGCCAACCTAGACAGCACCATCCCAAACAACAGGATAAAAGACGGAGTGGTCCACCGGGTTTTCAAAGTCAGCCAGGCTCTCAGCCGGCTGCAGGTCTCACCTGGGACCGTCACGGACTTCGACTCAACACGAGGCTCAGAATGTACGGGACGGTCGTTCTGACGACGCTACTATACGGAACGGAGACATGTATCGTTTACGTCAATCAAGCCAGGACACTCACTCACTTCTACCTCAGCAGTCTTTGGAGCATACTAAAACTTAGGTGGATGGAAAGGATCCCGGATACGGAAGTCTTTGAATAGACCGCAATCCTCAGAGTCCACGCCATGCTGAGGCAACTAAAACTGCGATGGAGCAGCCATTTCGTGAAAGTGGACGACGGAGACTCTTCTACGGCGATGTCGCAAAGGGTACGCGCCCCTACAAAAGCACCTTGAAAGTCTCTCTCATGAAACTACAAATCAACCTGGAGGCCTGGAAAGACCTCGTCCAAGACCGATCGGCCTGAAGAAGAGCAGTGAAGACTGAAACTACAATCTATGAAACCAACTGGATAATCGCCGACAAAGCTAAAGGGGCAGTTTGCAAGTAGCAAGCGCCTCCAATCCACAGAGCCAACACCTAGCCCTTTCCAATATGTTCGCGCTGCCACTAAACCCTCCGCGCGCGGATCAGTCTTGTCGGGCATCTCCGGACTCACTGCAACAACAGCCCGACAATTCCACCTGCTGACACTGAAAACGTCCCTATCGTCAGCTCCACACCATCTCCCACCGCATCCATGGCAGCAAGCACCACCATCGTCACCGACGATCACACTCCTAGTGTTCCGACGCCTCACCCGGTGTTGTTGGCCTCCACCATCCCTATTGTCCTTGCCACAATCCCAGTGACGACGACTACCACTTATTCAACATCCGCCACCAGTAACAACACTCTAGACGCCTCGTCAGCCACTACCATCATAACCACCGCCCCCACTACCAGCGATGTGGATTCTATCGCATCCTGTCCTTATTACGATCGCACATTCACCTCACGTATCGTGTTGGTCGATCACCTGCAAGCCCATTGCAATCCGACCCCGCGCACAAGTACGAGGGGCCTAACATAACTTTCCGCGTCCGCCATCACTGTCCACACACATTTATTCATCACACGGGCCTATTTGGCCACATGTGCATATACGAGAGCGGAATTCCTCACAACATCGGCCCGTCAAGCACACCGTGCACGCCTGATAATTATTTCATCCTCAGCCTTACCAACTCCACATTCACCAAAACGGCCACCACTAGCAGCATCACCACCGCAACCTAGACAGCAGCTTCCGACCTATCCTCTTCACACTACCACCGCAAGTGGACATCACGCATCGGCTGGTTCGGTTTCTATCGAATCCGTCTCTCAGAGACTAACGCACCTGTGCCTGGAGCACCAACATTCACCCACCGCACCTGCCTCAGCTGGTCACACTGCCCACGCACATTCAGTCTCCGCATAGGTCTGCTTGGCTACACGTGCATCCACGAAAACCAGCAGTGAAACACAGCCGGCCAGACCCCACCACCGCATATCTCCTTACCAGCCCATGCATCACACAAGAACTCCCACCTCATCGTCCACCACAGACTCGGAATCGGCATCTCTCACGCGAGTGGAAACCATGCTCTTTGGTTCCTTCTCCTCGTGGCCTTTATGGCACTCTAGCACATGTCAGATTCGAGCAGTCTACACCCTATATGTGAAATCTTGATCTGTTGTGCGGGGCACGCGCAGACTGACTGTTTTTAGCTCTATCAGCTACTGCGCCCAATCCCAGCATCAGTTGGTTGGCCGGATTAGACAGCCGATTGGTGCATGGGGAAGGGATGAGAGAGTGAAGTTGACTATCTTAGCGCATACTGCTCATTACAAGCAATGTGACGCACTTGAAACTGTCACGGTTTGCTAAAAGTCGTGGCTTGGAATGCTGCCAACTGACAAGATAAATCAGTCCTCCCCTCAGGACGGTGAGTCAGGCCGCAATGACTCCCTCTTAATGTAGCCTTTATAACACTCCCACCATGTTAGGACCGGAGCTGTCCCCTTTCTTTTGTTGTGTGAAATCCTGGTTCTTTATTCGTAGACCAAAGGGCGTGGTGGCACGCCTAGGTGACGGCTCATGCCGCGCCGGCCATCTGTGCCCGATCCCGCCTCCGGTCTTCTTGTTTCTATCTTGACGTCAGAACAACACGGAAGAGGCGGAAAGAGTGTGGTAAATGCTTCCCAAGTCTATTATCATCATAAACTAATTCATGCGGCGCCCAAATTCCTTGTTTTTCTACCGTTCCCAAAGCTTTTAAACATTTACTATCCGTAGCTCCACCAGCTCTCTCCACTTCTGACATTTCTTGAGAGTTAGACATGGATCGTGATCGATTAAAGTTTCCAATTCTTCATTTTCAATTTTTCCTGTCTCCCTCAACGTTCTTTAACTTATAAGACAAAATCACCGTTTTTAAAGCATTCAAACCACTTCTTGAATGTTGTTTCAGAGAGAGCGTTTTCACCACAAGCTTCCTCAGGCAAACGATAACTTTCGGCAATAATTCTTTCAAATTAATATATACAATAAATGCTTCTTGAAAATTCTTTTTGGGACAATATTTCCCACCTTCTCTACAGTTAAAACATTAATGTTAAAGCTTCAACGAAGTGTCCTAAACCAAGTATGACAAACTTGTCCGAATACTCTATAATGCATGCGTTGCCACTTTTAGTTACCCGAAAGCAGTATCTGTTAAAACATCTATAACAAAACCGCATTAATTAGATCCCTACACACTGCAGAGGTGAATATTTGAGCCTTAGGTACTTGCTAGTGTGAAGGAGAGGGTTGCAGAGGTTTAGGACCATACTTTTACCTATTTGTACTTTCAGACTCCTTACAGGAATCCGTCGTCAAATGTGAGAAGGCGGTATTGATAGGCGCGACACCGCTGAGACCTTATGGCCGGTCAACAGCGGTGGTTCTATATGTGAGTATGTCCGAACATTCACTCACCGCATGGACAACCGCGAGAGCGGAATTCACTGCAATATCGACGTGCCAAACCCGACAGTTCGACCGTCGTTACCGACTATGTCCACCGTGTGCTCCAAAGCGAAGTGAGAACAGGCACGGTTACTTGTGCGTGAATCAGTTCAAAGTGGCAGTAGACATGCACAGCATCTACCACACTCTTTTTCTCTCCGCCTGAGTCCGGTCTCAAGGCATATTCAAGAAGACCGGAGGTGAGAAAGGGCGCAGGTAGCTGGCACGGCCGGACACGCACCTAGGCGTGCCACCACGCCCTCTGGTGCCCAAAAAACACTTGACCAGGATTTTAACCAACAACAATAAGGGGCGACAGGAATCTCAGTTGGCACGACCTCAGCCGGCAACTGGACCCGCCACCGCAAGCCGAATGCTGGCATTTGTTATGATGCGCATTCCCGATAACGCACGTCAGAATCCCATGTGGCTCTCGTGCTGACCGCATCTTTCTCACTACAAGCTCACTAACGCGCTTTCAAACTATCACCGTGCGTTAAAAGCGGTGGATTGGAAGACTGACAACTGACGAGATAAGTCGGTCCTTTCCCCCAGGACGGAGAGTTGGGCTGCATTAGCTCCCGCTGAATGTGACCTCTATAGCAGTCGCACTCTGATGTGATCTTAGCCGTCCATCTACTTTTTCCGTGAAAACCTGATCCATCCTGTGCGAACCAAACATGTGTGACACGCGTAGACGGGTCGTTTTGTCTTGTCAGCCACTGCGCCCGATCCTGCCCCCGGTCTCCTTTTCTCTGTCTTGACACCGGGCTCAGATGGGTGAGGGAGGAGAGAGTGCGGTGTGTGCGGTGCAAGTCTGCCCTCACTATAGACTAATTCGGATTCGAGTCCGCGTGCTTGTGCCCTTCTAGCTGTGGGACAAAGATTAGACATAATCGATAAGGATAGTCGAACCGTCATATGGAGAACAAGCTCCCTAGTAGCATAATATCTGCAAAGACGAGATACGAGGCAGCTATTCACCGGGTTGACAAATCTCCAAATATTTACAATCCGCTTCGCCGAGGGGAAGCAGGTATCATGTGACTCTTGCTGCAGCTACTTAAATTCCCCCCACCCTTCTCTTATCTTCCTACACACAGAGGTCTTTGAATGTGCGACAAACGACCTGAGTGAGGCCTGTAAGGGCTGAAGGCTGTTCGTTTTAAATTTTAATTAGGAGTTACCGTCGCTGTAAAATTAGTTGTCCTGCGTAATAGTCCCCACCCACCACAATGATAACCAACTTCTCACATTTTCAGGGCTTCCCGCCCCCTTCATCCAGCGCATCAAGTTGTCGTTTAAGTCGGTTCCGACAGGCGTAGTTATAACAACCTCTTGTTTGTAGACACTTGGTGGTTTCCCCAGACAAATAGTATTGTTTTGTTTTTCCCTCCGCCCAAAGCAACAGCGCTTCGGCGACCACATATAGTGAGAAAAACGCACGCTTGTGTGTAATGTAGGGGGGGGGGGGGAGTGGAGTTGGGAGAGGACCACTGCCGTGTGTGGACACATTCAGCGAGCGGAGACAGCTTAGTGTGCACGCGCAGAGAGAGTGCGCACGTGCAACCTGGGTGTACATTGCGCAGGCAATGTCGTTTAGTCGGCCACTAGACACCGTTTAGCCAACCAGTTTGCTAGCCAGCCGGAAACACCCGGCCCCCTGTGAATACAGATTTAAGTGTGCTTGCTGCTGCCGTGGCAGTGGGGGTCAGGGTGGAGAGGAACACACTCGTGTAGGCAAGGCGCGTATACACTTCCGTCCTCTTCTTATCAGCGCTTTGCTGTCTCTCCCCTGACCGACACAAGTTGGCGGGGTAGTGGAGGCGGACGGAGGTGGTAATCGCATTAAGCTATCAAGGAAGTGGTGCACTTGGGAACGCGAGGACAATAGCTTCACAATCCGCACCCAGGAACGCAGCTACGCCCGACAGGCTTCAGTTATTCCCAAAAGGGTGGGGTTGGACGGAAGGAGAGGAAGTAGATGGCGGAAGTTAGACGAAAATATGACCATTTCTTTCATAATTGTTCATTGTGACTAGGTCTGGATTTAAAGACACTCATAAAATTCAGTTATCATCCAAGCCGTGTGACCTTTTGAAAACAGGGAAAATTTTAAGAAAAGAGTATAACGTGGAGGGCAATACCCGAGAGGTCACTGTTTTAGCGCAGACGATTAGATATATGATAAGAGCTGAGCTGAGAGCTTACAGAAAGTGAGTAGAGGCTCCAACGTTCAGCTAGAACTTAATAGGCGTTTCATGAACTGTGTTCCCAGATTGCGGCTAACAATATAGTCTCCGTCTACCCGCTAATTCGGACGAAACTTGAGCAAAAGAAACCGCTAAAAGAGCGGGGTCAATCTCAATTTCGACTGGTCCTATTAAGCAATCCGAGTGCCCTCTGGTCAGGACGTTTCTGGTTCTTTGGCCGCACAGGCCTTATCGATGCGACTTGCGGATATTCCGACCTGTTTAATACGAAACCTCTTTGTGGGCTTCTAAACCCCAAAAGGGTGGAACCATATGCATGAGGAAATCCTGGATTAAGGGGATAAGGAGGGCGCAATCGGAATTGGAAGGCCGCAGGGGCAACCGCGCGTTAATTCGTAGTGCTTGGCCACTGTAGTGGAATCGACGGAGTTCCACACCGCCCGAACAATGACATTAGCGAGCCTACTTAACTAGTCGGTTGATCGAGGCAATAAGGAGAGCGTAAGCAGGGCTCGAGGCACGCACAGGGAAGCACGAGCGAGCTGATACCTGATGGTTCCAAGGCCTCCACCCGAGGTTCAATCACTCGCAGGACTAAGGTATTAAGGAATGCGCAAACACGTGATATATGAAAAGTCAGAGTAATCGCACCTACTAAAATTGTTTTTGTTGGCTAGCCATGGGGTATTAAGCAAGTGGGGCTGCAGAACCAAACCTCGCTGATATATGTCCCCATGCAGGTAAAGATGCAATTAAGCTAAGCCAAAAAGAGAGACGCATCATTCTAATGACATGTGTTTGTCAAGCAGCATTGAGACTGCATGCGTGACTCCACCATGACTGAGGATCAAAGCCGCGACCTTTCCCTCTTGCTGTGGTCTTCATTGTACTGTCACTTACGTGTGCCCTGAGAACCGTCGGAGGGAGTCCAAAACTCGTGGACTTTGGGACCAGGTTGTGTGTGGCACGCATAGACGGAGAGTTAGGTTCTGTCAGCGGCTGCGTTTACGCCCAGAATCGATCGTCCAGATTTGTTTTATTATCAGGAGCCAGTGGGTATGGGAAGAGGGGAAGATGCAGATTTTTTGAAAGTTGGAAGTATGAACAAATTCACGTGCAAGTCACGGTCGCACCAACCCCAAGAGGCCTCGTCACTTTGATTTTTGGCAAGACTGCTAATAATAGGCAATGACCAGTTTGACATTCGGCCGAGAATATCGTCTTGTCATCAACATACCCTACCATCCTCTACTTATTATGCTCGTGCGGTTTAGTACTTGGCAGTCACGCAGTATGGGTGCAGGAAAAATGTCAATCTGGAAAACGAAGTCTGTACTCATCCTAAACAGATTATACTCCATCCTGATCTTCGGCGAAAGATTTCCGATGCTGTTATTATTTCTGATGCCGTAAGGACCGATCGTTCCCTCTCAGAGGATTAGTCTGCGTAAATTCGCACATTTACGTTCCAGGGCATGATGATTTTGTTGATTTTCGATGCATGAATAGTGAATAAGTGAGGGTACTGATACAAGTTGCCTTTTAAGGTGTCCCGTTCGGTGATAGTGGAGGCAGAAGCTCTGACAACTTCCACGAAATGTCTTCTGAAAAGTGCCCATATTTGTGCAATTAGTCGCGCCTTGATTACTTTCGGAGATGTAGAATCTTCATGAGATCTTTCAGGTATTCTAAGCCGCTCTGACGTCATACCATTTTTCTTAATGCCGGTGGTCACTACGAAGAAATGTATGTTTACTGTCCTTGTTCTCAGATGCAGGTTTCTCGGAGAGCGACGATGTTCACCTTATATCGAGTGGGCTATCGGTCTTTTTGATCGGCTGGTTGCTGGGCTTCCTGAATAGGAGGAGATACTACAGACAGCCAGCGTGAGCGGGGTAACTCTGGTGTAATGGAGCATTCGGGCAGACATTTATTGCATTGCTTCATGGAAGGCGCCCTGACAGCCACAGTTAGGCGTCTGGAGGGTGATTAGCAAGCAGCGTTTGGGCACCCCTTATAGTCCTCTTACTACCGAGGGCGTAAGCAACACTCCCCTACCTAGGGCTGTGTAGACAGTCAGAGCTTCTGAAGTTCACCACGGCTTTCCAACTTCCGGTGAGGAAACGACCCGAACTGGATACCGCTATCCGAGGGGAGACCCTTAGTCTGTCATCGCACAAGTCATCAATTGTTATGTTTGAGATGAGTGGAATGATTTTGGTGAAAATTGCTTGCACAGGCTCCAGTCTTTCCCAGTCCGCTCAGGACTCGTTAGCAAGATCAAGTTTGCATTACTGGCAGCACGATAGGCACAGTGGTTGATCCGATATAAAGTTACTTTGGACCCTGTGACATACTGCTTTTTGCCGGGGCCGAGCTCCTCGCTAGCGAGATCGTGCCATTTGTGTCAGGAATTTCTTGTTGTTTCTCAAAGACTGGGTATAGGTATTTACTGTTATCATAAAGAGTTGGCCTGAATAGCCTTGTTGCCGACAACCACCATGGCCATGTCTGACGTCCTTGTTCAGAGCCCCGCTGCGCCAAGGGGTGGCAAGCGAGCGGTTCCAGACGCACTAACCTGCAGCCACTTGGCTGACTTCAACTCAGACACAGGTACGTTTACAGAGTCGTAGCTCTACTTGCGCCATTTGAACACACCCCCCCCCCCCCACATATGCAACACAAGTCACTTGAACACCACCCTTAAGAGAATGCAACAACCATCAATTGAACACGACTCGAGCTCGCTCCTCAAACCTACAAAAGCAGCTACGACCGCTGCTTTACTAACTTCCAGGCATGAGTGGACACAGTCAACATTAGCTCTGGCTCTACCGGCGGCGACTGCCGCCTGAAGGTTCCGTATACAAAAAATCTTCATTCTGATGCCCCGTATTTTCCTACAACTGGGGATTTAATTCAGTATACTTAAGGTTAATAGGTAATACCTTTGGCCTAATAATTGTAGCGCTCGAAGTACGCTCTCAAACCGCGGACGCTACGGCCTTTCCTGTAACCCTCGCCTGGACAATCAAGTCTTTGAAAGGATCGAATATGTTAGTAAAGAACCGGCAATTCAGAACCTTAGTAAGAGGTCATGTACGTCCACGCACAGTCAAATGGCCGTCTTTGAGGCATGCCAATCGTTTCAGGCAAATTTTAATAGTTAACAAGTGTTAGGATGCCTCCTAATAGCACCACTAAGAGAAATGGGTATTTTTAACAGATATCTTGAGCATCAAGTTATTCGCGAAGTTAATATGCGTGTAGAATAAGAAGCGTTTTGAAAGAAGAATATGATTACTGGATTTTTCAATTACTGTAATTGTAAGACTAAAATACTACCACTCACAGAAGAAACTATCTCCTTCAAACTCACATTTGTCAATCATTTTCAGTGAAAATAACTGACCATACCCGCATGCTCTGTCGTCTCTCCCCTCTGATATAATCACTTAGTCGACTGGTAGTTGGCTGTCTGCTCGTGACCTTTGCCATATGGAGTTCGTCTGCTTCGGAGGCCAATTGATAGGTGTGAGCCTATTCCTATTTATACGTAAGTCTGATTACAAGAAATTTTTACAAATGAGTCGATGAGGGTTCTCGCGAATGGAATCGACGCAATAATTGGGAAGAGTTTTCTGGAAACTGACATGATGTCAGCTATTTGTCAGTATTTCTGGTCAATTTGAATGGTTGATACGATAGTTAGGCCTGCGTTTCACTACCCCCGGCGATATAGAAGTTGATTTCCCATGATTTTGGAATTTACCCAGGATGTTACGAGTAACCTATATATTTCTAGGGTAAAAGTAAAATATTTTTTGTGGGATTTTTTAAAGCACCAGGTGACCTAATTTGGCTAATATGTGCATCAATAGTGCAGACAGGGGGAAAATTTTAAAAAAAGTACATAAAATTTTTGGACGCTTAAGGAGAACATTGCAATTATCACACCGTTTATCCCTACGACAAAAACCGGTCTTCTTTAGGAATCGAATTTATCTGTTTCTTGTGTCTCTGGGAGCCTACTTCTCGTTTACTTCAGTTAGTCAAGACTTCTTCCGCTTGAATTCTGCCGCTTTGCTGCATTGTCGCTGTAATCACCCTGGCATCCCGCTGGCACTCTCTAAAGTCCGCCACTCAAACTGGTCTGTCATCGTGCATAACACTTTAGACTCCAAAGTCATTATTCGCAGTTAAGCTGCACCAAAGTCCTCTTTGCTCACCACCACCACACCTCAAATACCAATGCTTAACTTGTTTTACGTTGCGTCCGATCCATTTTAGAAGGTCTCCTTTCTCCCCTAAATCCACAGAAATTGTGCGTGGGCGACGTCGTTAAAACTGGCGAGTCGCTTACTTACGCTGATGGAATTAAACTTGACAATGGGCAACGAAACGGAGACTTATGAGCTGTGTTCTTTCCCCTTCGCGTTTATTTTCCGGTCGTCTCTTTCGTCCAACATCCAGCCTAGTGTCTGGTTGAGCATGCAGTCCGTTCATTAAAAGTTTTTTCCGTTGGGACGCATGGGAAGTGCAAGGTGATCGAGAGCGCGTGTTATTTAATCCTTTGCAACGTCCAGTCTGGCTGCACAGTCGAGATGAAGATGGAAAGTGTTCGTTCAGTCCCTTTCCAGTTATGGCTGCGGCGTACGATGCTTAGTAAGTCACACTATCAGCCCTTCGGGTAACGTTCGTCCCCCTCTATTCATCTACCGTTCTCCTGCACTTCTCTTCCCTATTATACCACTTTAGTGTCCTTTCGCCGTCGTGGCCGTCAGAATCATTACCGTCAGCATCGATCCCCTCCTCCTCCTCCTCCTCCTCCTCCTCCTCCTCCTCATCATCATCATCATCATCATCATCATCATCGTCGTCGTCGTCGTCACCGTCACCATCAGCGCCACCACAGTCATCATTAGCAACATGACCATCTTCATCCATACCTTCACAACACTCTTCTTCTTCCTCTTCCTTTTCTTTCCACACTTAACATCGTCAATTTCACCATTCAATCTGAATTTTCCTCTTCGTCGCCAATGCTTCTGCTGTCTTTGACCCTGATCTTCCTTTCCGTCATCGATTTTTATCTCCGCCCTTCGTACTACTGCTCGACTCTAGCAGTATGATTTTCAGCACGCTAGATTCATCTTCGTCACAGACATCCATTTTACGATAATGTAATTCTTCTAGAACAGCCTGTATTATCCGACATAAATTCATCCTACATTCAGCCTTTATTTAAAAGAGGCTTCAGTTAGAAGGAGGGCGACTGGAAGAAAGTAGTGGAACGTCGTTTGGAGAAGTTCTAGGATGAAAATCAAAGGTGCGTCCTAAAGGCTCTGCGCGAAAGTCAGTTTTTACGCTGATAAGTAAGCATACTCTTATCTTTCGATGAGGTTGGCTGCTCACTTATTCCAAAAACCCCGCCAGTTACTTCTTACCTTTCATGACTTATGGCCGCTCAAAACCAGCGGGATCGGCAATTGCCTTTCGGGCAAGTGAAACAGCCAATATCATCATGACGACTGACTTTGTGGGAAATGACAGTATAATTCAATCTAAAACAGCCATGGCTCACCATTCGGTCTTGCGGACTGATTCGCAGCGAGAGGTAAATTTGAGAACTGAAGACCATCCAGCAGTTAAATTTCGACGAAACCAGTCTGAGCCACATTTGAGTTGGTAGCACCCACGTACAGTCCGCACAGTCGTACGGAAACGTAAACGGCTTGTTTTCTCCTGGCCTCGAAATCCCTAGACTTTTGTTACCGAATATACTCTTACGCCTAGTTTTCTTTCTCAGGTGCCCTTTCTTTGATCTGACCAGTACGTCTGAATACTGAAAGTAAGCAAAAAGTCCCAGGAATTTACTGAATTAGTGTCCATATTTGGGACCCAGGTTTTGGCATTTCTGACGTATCGAAGAATTACTATCTCTTAACGAACAGCTGCCTTTATTGCATTCTTGCACTAGTGTTCCTGTACATTGTTATGCCGTGTGGATAAATTAAAAGATGCTCGTAATTAAGCGGCCATGCCATTATAATTATAAAAAGAGACAGTTGAATAACTAAGAAAATGAAATAGGCTTTTATAATCCATTTATTTATGAGATTTTACTTTATGAATGGAAGAGAATATGCGCATCCCAGGTTCCTCTTTAAAAGTAGACTAGGGCACTGGAACAGTAGCTTTATTAGTCTTAGCTTTCGAACTCGAACAGGAGTTAAATCTCAGAGACTGTTAGAGTGCAGCAGTGTGTGAAAATGTATACCGTTGTACCGTGAAGGGGGAGGGTTACGTCCGTGGCTAGGTTTGGTTCGTGCTGCCTGGCCCACAATGGTCTCCCGACGTGGTGATGGCGTTTGATCATCGTGACGATGTGAGCTGCGCCACCTGACTGCGTGGGCGTGGCGTATGATAATACGGAGTCAAGTCAATGTGTCTGTTGATGGCGTTGGTGTCCGATACCCACGCCCCCAGCAGTTCCCGCCCCGTCTTGTTGCCTGCTCGCGCCAATATCCGCGTGTTGGCGAATCTTAACTCGTAGCCTTCCTCCAGCGTATGAGTGGTGATTTGAGATAGTGGGTCGCCACTCCAAACGGCCCGTATGTGCTCGAGTGTTCGTGAGCTGAGACGTCGTCCTGTTTGGCACGGGATTTAATAGACTAAGCCCGATTGGTCACCTGCGTCCAGCCGATCCTTCATCTTAACGATTTTGCTACGCGTGGTAGCCGCCGGATGATGAGCGATGCCCTCACCTAACTCAGCCGCAATGCGTTCTGTGGCCTAGGACACATTATGTACGGTAGGGAGTGCGGAATAGTTGATGTCTCTCTTCTGTTTGTCCGTCGTGTGTGCAGAGGCTAACGAAATTATTTGCATAGTCATTCTTTGCCAGTTGGTCCCTGAGATGCCGTAGTTATTGCATCCTTCCTTTGGGCTCTCTACAGTGCGTCTTTATCCGATCTAAAAGTGCCCTTACACAGTCTCGGTTGTGCACAACCCGGTGGTTGCTATGATAGCTGAGGACCTGCTTTGTGTTGTTCGTCATTCTATACACTGTAGTGCTGAGTTTATCATCAGATGTGCGCGTGACGAGCACCTCAAGGAAGGGTAATTTTACGGCCTCCTCGTCTTCTCTTGTAAATTGGATGTCTGGGAAAATGCTTAGTTGCTTCGACGACAAGTCATGTACCACCTTTTCGTTGGTATTGACTTCGGGTTTCAATTTGACGAACTTCTGGTCTAGATTCATGCCACGGACGTAACCGCCCTCACGGTACAGCGGTATAAATGTTCACACGTTGCTTCACTCCAACACTCTCTGATGATGAACTCCTTTTCGAGTTCGAAGGTTAAGATTAATAAAGCTACCGTTCCAGTGATCGTGCCTTCATTTTCCTTTATTTTCATGGATTAAACGAATCCAATGAACATTTTTACTTGACGTCAAAATCGTGATCCTTTGGCAATAGTCGATTCATGTGAGAGTTTCAGTACATCCTCAAGATCCATGCTGCAAAAGTACTCCCATCGTAGTTGCAAGTCTAAAGTGTTAATTCTACTGAAGTAAATGTGACAGTTAGACCATCGCGGGCAACGACGTCCACCATGTGCCCCATGGAATGGACCGCAGAACCGGTGGCTTGTGCATGAATTAGTTTGTAGTAAAATAGGCTTGCGCAGCGTCTACCAAACTCTCTCTTCCCTCGGACACCTGGTGCCGATGGCAAGACAGAGTCCAGACGACGGGAAGCGGACTCGTGTGCAGCGATTGACAAAGCTAGAAACCCCATTTGTGTGCGCCATACAATAGCTGGTCCCCGCAGAATGTACCAGACTTTCACAGAAAGGTGGTTCGGATATCACGTTCGTGGGAGTGCATAAGGGCCAGATTAAGAATGGGCCAGCGGGCCTGGCTCCGCGTCCTCGAGCCAGTCACCCCACATATCACATAGTACTGACCGCGACGACCGAGTTATCCGGTCAGTTGGCAGCCTTCAAAACCATGGTTTTTGGCGAATTGTAATGATTTCAAGGCGCATTAGGTTTATTATAGTGAGGAATGCGCTGATGTGCCGTGGGGCGGGATTCCCCGGTGTTGATCTCATTGCCTTTGCCCTCGCCCGTACACCAGTTCACTGTCAGAGTCGATAAGTAGTCTGGCGTTGGGGTTGGGCGGGACTTCAGATCCCTTTGCGTCACAAAACTAGCTTTCAATTGGACTTCCATATCCTTAGCCCTTTATGAACTCATAAGCTTCCTTACCCTATCCACTAAATTGAGCAGTCTTACACAGCATCCTACAGTGAGTGGCCCATCACATGAAATGTCGGATGAAATTCTGAAATGCGTTTTCGATTAAGAAGGATTACTTAGGCGCTGTTGTAAGACAGATTATCTTGCGGCATAATCCTATAACATTTCGGACTCGACAGAATGTCAGCTTTTAAATTCACTGCTTTTTAATCTCCTGTGGAATCCCCAGTCGGTAAAAAATGACTACTTAATTAGCATGCATTTTACCATTGATTTTCGATGGTCTTGCAAATTAACATATATCTTATAGAAACCACAAACAAAATATGCATTCTTCCAGTCTTTTGATAGAGAGTTACGCCTTCATATTTTATACTCGAAGAAGGAGTATAATTAGGTTTTAAAAAAGTTTCTAATTATGAGATTTTTTAAGACCGCGCAATGTCCATTCGAATAGCATCGTAGCTGTCCGCTTACCACAGCCCCTCATGGAAAGTACACTATAGTCCACATCCATTGCAAAAGTTAATGGACTCTGTATGATATCTTTATAAAGGCATAGAAGAATACGTGATTTTCTTTACGTGGAACGCGTGTACCTTGTAGACTGAAATCACCAAGCGCTAATGCGACGAATGATCAGGCTCCAAATTATTCGGCAATTAGAAGACGTTTTTTAAACACAATTATACTCCTTCTTCGAGTATAAAATATGAAGACGTAACTCTCTATCAAACGACTGGAAGAATGCATATTTTGTTTGTTGTTTATATAAGATATATGTTAATTTGCAAGACCATCGAAAATCAATAATAAAATGCATGCTAATTAAGTGGTCATTTTTTACCGACTGCGGATTCTACAGAAGATTAAAAAGCAGTGAATTTAAAAGCTGACATTCTGCCGAGTCCGAAATGCTATAGGATTATACCGCAAGATAATCTGTCTTACAATAGCGCCTAAGTAATCCTTCCTAATCGAAAACGCCTTTCAGAATTTCATCCGACATTTCATGAGATCGGTCACTCACTGTAACTGTACCGGCCTGAAGAGAAGTTATCGAAAGCAGCGTTTGCTTGCCACTTTGTCTTCTGGCTTTGGTGAACCTAGATGGCTGAAAGTACATCACGTAGTCGAGATCAATTGGCAAAACATATATAGGCACCTAACTAACTCCTGATTTAAAGACCTGTAAACTCACGAAATATGTCTGCAAAATATCTCGCCCAATGCATGATATTGGCATTATTTGGATTCCCTGTCGAAGCAAACGCGACACCCTTATGTGTTTACTTGAAAGTTTCGGTCGATAATAATAGCCAGTCTCGTGGTCACTCGGAAAACTTAACTCGGGTGTTTTGGACACAAGTTCAGGATGGTAGAAGAGTGCCCATCGATCGCGCTACGGAACCCATTCGCCCCGTTGTGTCTCTTTCTCTCTCCCTCTCTCACTCACTCTCTCTCTCTCTCTCTCTCTCTCTCTCTCGAGCCCAGCCAGCAGCAGCACGGCAGCGCGTGATACATAGGCAGAATAGCACTACCGACAAAGACAAGGGAGACGTGAATGGCAATTTCTGGCTTATTGGCCGTCCTCAGGCAGTCATACCCCACCCTGAGGTGTGGAAAACCCCTGTATATACCCGATCGCAACCGACAGGACAACGAGCCCGTGACTCAGTGGTTAGAGGCGTTTGACTTCTAACCAACAGGTCCGGGGATCAAGCCCTAGGTGTTCCACACCTCGGGGCTGGGTATGACTGGCTGACGACGGTTAATGTGTCAGAAGTTGCCATGCCAGTCTCCCTTGTCTTTGTCGGCAATGCTATTCTGCCTACAATTTCAGGAGGTCGATTGCTGACTTCCTTCGGTTATTTCTATTATTCATCAGGATGGATGCGAATTTGCCGACGTCAGATGGATAAATTAAACTTTATGCTTATCAATCGACTGTGCGCGCCCACGAATAAGGTTATTTTTGACATCTTAAACATTTAAAATCGGCTGAGAGTGTCATTCGTGCCATTCTGGTTAAGAAACAGCACTTTCAGGGTGCATTTTGAGCCCTTTAGTATATTCCATCCAAGCATTGTTCGATCATTCTTTTCAGCAAGAAAGCAAATTTAGATTCAGATAATTTCACTTAAAGAGAATACAGAAAACTTCCCCAAATATACGCTGTAATAAAATACGTCAGTTTACTATTCGTGTATAGTAGTTAGGACAACTGAAAACACTTAAGTGTGAATTCATTAAAAACTGCCTACTAAAGAAGTGGACTTGTCTTCCCTCGTTGCGTGTCCAAGAGTTCTCTGGTCTCTTCAACTCAGAAAGTGCTGGTGGAAAATCATACTGGCCGGGTTCCAACAGGAAGTTGGGCTCAGGTTCATTGTCTTCCAGTCAGGTGGTTCCGATTGGAATGGAGACCGACTGCCGGAGTCCTCCATGAAGCGTTCATTTCCACTAACCTGCCTTGGCGCCTCGGGACAATCCCAGCGTTCCAGCTTGGATATGGGACATGACTGTGATGCCCCAACTGGTGGAGTGGTAGGAACACCTAGGGGTTCCAAGATCTCTCCCGCAGGTAGACTGAAACCACCAACGACGGAGCGCAAGAGAAGGTTCATAATATGAGCCCCCTGCTTTAGTTGCTGTTGCCGTTGTTGGAAAGAAATCAACTCATCAAGCCCTCCTAGGGTACCCCCTGAGGAAAGCGCCTCCCCAGGGGTCTTACAACGGCAGGAATGACTCGTCAAACTGGGTTTTACCTTCTGCTTATCATCATAGCCCTCCTCATTGAAGCCACCTAGACAGGAAAAGATGGACAGCTGAAATGGTGCTTTTTGTGATGGTGGCAGCGTCTCCACTTGCAGTGTATTCTTCTGGGGTATCTTGGTTACCGGTTGATTCATTTCGTGAGGAGGGTGTGAGAGATTTGGAGCATGTGTCTGGCTGAGGCTTTCCATGCTAGCCAGAATAGCTTCTGTAGCCGGGTTAATAGCCCAGTAGGAGGAGTTCGACTGAATGATTTGTTTCACTGCTAGGAAGTTTCCAGTTTCTCCGAGGAGTTCCAAACCGACAGCGGTCTGACGTTTCCACTTCGTTCTGGAGGAGAAAAAGTTACGTCTCTTATCAAACCGACAAGCTTTCTCGCGAATGACCGACGTCAGGTTACCACAGAGATGCGTGAACCAAATGGAAGCATGGCTTCCAGAGAAAGCATGCATGAATGTAAAAAAACAGCAGGTAAGTTGCTGGGAAGTATTGTCAACAAAGACTGGGGGGACCGGAATGACAACTGATGATTTAGTAACGGTTGTCAATTTGCCTTGCCTCAGCACCGAGTGAACAGACCCGAGGTTAGGACCCAGGTCACATTGGTTGTTGAGCCACTGCTTTGTCGCTAAGCCACTGCCTTATGGCTCTGACCGAGAATGTTGAAAGTTAAATTAGTGTGGCGTTCACCCGTACGATTTTATTTCAGGACTGAACGCAGACGTTCTTAGTTTAAAACTGTTGCGCGCGATCGCATGTCGACCTTAAATATTCCAGGTTGTAGCCGGTATGAGTTGTTGGTTCAGTGGCAGAGTGCCGACACAGGTGTCAACGACGCTCCGATTCAGGCCTCAGAACTGCGTGACCTGTGATGAGAAGTGAGGGCTGGCTGACTGACTGATGACAGGAAATAAATGATAGGTTTTTGTAGACTTCACTAATTCACTTGTCCAAACTGTGAAAAACGCGGATGCCTTGGTGGGATTCAAGCCCGCGGCAGAGAAGGCAAGGCTTGAGTACGGCCAACGCTCTAACCACCTGAGCTACAAGGCCCGGCCGAGAACCATGAGAAAATAATTCACGAAGCAGCAAATTCAGTTGCCCTGGTCGCCTCTCACTAATGCATATGGATTATTTATTGCTCGTCGCATTACGACCACCTACAACTGCCCTAGACAGGAACTTTAGGGCAAAGCGAGCTCCCGTATTCCATCCTGCGTACAAGATGGGGCATCTAGGTCGTTTCTCGCTTGGCTCTCTGTAAGTAAACCATTTTTCTCCCTCGGATGCTCTTTTACTTTCTCAAGTAGCAGGAATTTCTATAAATGGCGTATTCCTCTGGATTTTCTACCGTTGTCCATATACCTAGTGTTGAAGTTCTGACATTCAGTATAGGCGATAATCTGTAGTAACCGACTGTTTGTGATCCACTTTGCAGCACTTGATTTCTACGGGCTGCCTAAGTTACCCGGCTTACGGACTCGCCGAACTTCCGGAGCTCATCGAGTACTTCTTAGTCCTACGTGCTATCTTTTGTGGAGATTATCACTGCGGCACGATCAGCATCGCTAATCGAAATAGCGGCGGCGAATTTGATGGTGGTTGTCGTACAATTAGAATTTTCGATAGCGCTACTACAAATATCCTTTGAAGACGGAGGTATCAGTATCACTAGCAGTATTTTGTATTAGCCGTAGCGGTTGTAACTGGGGTAGTTTGAGGACGTGAAGAATGCATTTTCGGCAGTCCCCTCAGTGGTGACAATACGAGTGTAACATTAATTGTAATGCTAGCATAGACAATAGGAGCGATACCAGTGTAAGGAAAAAACAGACATTTTATTTTACGTCGGCGTTAGTGAAAGGGACAGTAAGGGAACCCAGATTGTTTGTGATGACCTTAAAAAACAATATTTGTGCCAGTATTAGTTTGATAGCGTTTGCAAGGACAGTTCTATTAGCAGCAATCGATGTAGTTATTGTGATTGCAAATGTGAAAGTGTTATCAGGAAACTCGTCAAAAACACAATGCAACATTAGCGGCAACAAACGCTACTGGGGTATTCGCAAAAAGAGTGAAGGCAGTTGTATCTAAGGTCACATGGGAACAGCATTCACCACTATGTCTTGATGGTGCGACGAATACGAGGGCAACGTCCTCACTTAGGGTCATGGTTTAGAGCCTTCGCTACTGGTCCCACAACGAAGTATACTCAAAACTGAGAGCCATGGTCAAGGGAAGAAAGACTGGAATGGTCATTTCTGGCTTTTGTGCCGTAACCAGAGACCCATAGCCCAAACGCAGACAGGAAACACCCGAGGTTTAAAACATGGTCCACTTGATCGTCGAGCCAAACGTCTTATCACTAAGTCATTAGCTCATATTATGCGTCTGAGATTGGAACCATCCGGTCAACCAGAAGTGTTATTCGCCGATCTATCCCGGTTTCAGGACGAAATATAGACAATCCATTTTGTCATGTGGACCGGTCCAGAGCTCCTCCTGACGGTCTCACAAGAGCAGAGAATCATTGCTGATAGGACTTATGAGCAGAGACGACAGAAACTGGAATGCCCATTTCTAACTCATTTGTCCTTGAAAAGCATGAGATTCGATCACTGAGACAAGAATTTTCTTCTTCTGACGTTTTGGGGTCTCACTCGAACACCACCAGATGAAGCTACAAATGAGGGCAACGGCCGCACAAAGGGAACAGTATTTTGGGAGGTAGTTGTCATGCTATCACGTTTGTATCATAGTTAGCCGTTTCCGTATTCATCGCAGATGATTGTACTTGGTGCGATTAGGACTTGCTCACCCCTACCCGAGTTGTTAGTCGTTACAGATGCGTAAGGGGTTTTGAGTATCGGCGTGCTAACAACCCGGGGAAATGGCTCCCTCATACTATCCCTGTCTCCGCCTCTTTAAATCCCTCAAAGCCACCCTAACTTACGGATTAGGGAAGCCTGTTTCGGCTTCTTAGATTTCTGACCGATGATTCAGATGCCACAATCAATTCGTCAGCACAATTCCTGGAGACACTTAAATCGGTAAGTCCTCTGCCATACGACCTCATGGAATCTTTTGTTGTCATGTATATTTTTACTTTTATTTCCCAGGATCTGACAATCCAACTTATTGGACTACTCCTGAGAGGAAAATACCGTGAAACTGAGAATCTTCTCGAACACGCCAAACTCCTCTTATTCCTGAAGTTTTGTCTCAAGTCGTACCCCACGCTCAAGGGAATAATCTATGAGCAGGTAAAAGGCCTGCCAATGCGTTTATCACTTTCGGGGCTCATAACCAAGGTGGACCTGCGGCGGCTGGAGTCTCTAGTCTTCCAAAACCGCAGGCCGAAATTCTGGCCTCGATGTGTGAATGGCACCCTCGTCCTCACTGAATGGGATCCGGTCCCGACCTTTAAAGAACAACTCAACGCCGTCTTCCCGGATATCTACCGAACGACGGGGGAAAAATAACTTAACCGGCTGACCTTCCTTGATGTTCTCGTCTGCTGCAAAGATTGTGGTGGTCTAAGAACCAAAGGCTTCAAGAGAGCGGCAAATGCGACACAAACACTAATCTTCGACACAACCATTCAAAATTTACAAACGCATTGACGTAAGGGCGCTATAGCGACGCGCTGAGACGCACTGCAATAAAACAGAAGGCAAGATTGCCGAATTAGGACACCTTCGAAGGGGGTTCAGAGCGAAGGGCTACCCGCGCACCTTCATCGGCAGATGCATTCGCGAACGGGATGCGAGACAAAGCCACACGAGCCTCGTATTTTAGCTAGCGCGTACATGCGTGAGTAAAGTTTCAGAAGCCATCAGCTGTCGTCTCACGCCACTTTGAGTTGGGGTGGCACACAGACCAGGGGTGACTCGTAAGTGACAGGTAATGAAGCCGAAAAACCCACTGCCATGGCAAGAAACGTCTGGAGTTGTTCAAATGATCTGGTGCAGTTGCGGGCAATGCGAATTAGTTAGAGAAATTGGGAGTTTACTCTGGACGCGAGTGGCTGAGCATGCAGCATCGGTGAGGAAGAATGACGCCGGTTCCCAAGTCGGGGATCATTCAACGGGATCTAGCTACACCTTCAGGTTTGACGGGGCCGAAATTCTTGTGAAAGATGACAGGTGAGTTGGCTGTGAACTGACTGAGTCACGGATCTACAGCCCACGACTTATTAACGAATGCAATGACCTCTCCCCTATATTCGGTGCCGAGTCTGTGCCTGGGCAGATTACTTGACCATAAAGTGAATGCGCAGGCGAACACTACTTCCAGTGACAACATCAGCGAGCCCAACGGCCGAGTCATTAGCGCGCAAGTAATCAACATCGTTCATGAAACTGTGACAAATAGCAAGTCGGACACAGGCGGGATAATCATCATTGCACCACGTACGACCATCGGCGGTGAGTGCGCAAGCGGTTAATTATTGTCAATTAAGTGATGGCACGACAACTGTATCCAAAAAATCCTGTACCTCTTGTGCGTCTACCGTCCTTATTTATGGCCATCTCTGATGATGTGTTCGAGTGAGAATCTAAAACGCCAGACAAATAAAATCCTTGTTCCGACAATCTGCCTTCTGGGACTCGACTTTTCTTTTGTGTCACTTGCCATCAGCAGCCAGTCAACACCCAACCCCAGACTGAAGAGCAGTGAAATTTCAAATCAGGCACGTTTGGCGATTGAACCTAGGGCCTCGCCTGTTGAGCCACGAGGCCTCATCGTACTAGTTTTAAGAAAACTTAGGAAGGTGATTAGCGTAGCTCTATCTGTTGGTCAGTATTTATTGACCGCGTGATTTGATTTCCTCTTTTCTCCCGGCAAGTTTTCGCTGAACTCGAGATGCATCAAACACGTCTGCTGCTAGGAACATAGGGTGACGAGGAATACTCATTCTCTGAATGAGTCTTCACTTTTTTTCTTTCCGGAGCATTTACGAAATTTCGATGCATTTTTACCTGCACTATATAATGCAGGTTACTGCTTTCACGTCCTCCTAATTTGTCTTCGTTTACGCCCATTAAACGGAAATAGCACGGCTCCTCCACTTGAACAGATACCTTATCATAGGTGGACGATCTAGACGTCGGCAGAGATGTGGGTGTGTGCATATCCTGGGGAGGGGAAGGCCTTTAAGTGAACTTCCTGTTATCCAGGTAGAACAATAAACTCTCTTTAATCTCTCTTTGTTACCCTAATCATATGCTTGTCTCGCCTCAATCGCCAGCCTCATTCCCAGTCCCCGGGAAGGAGAAGTAGCAGTGATGTAGTGCGGGGGTGGGGGGTGACGGCGGTCAACACTTCCGAAATCTCCAGGTTCTGGTTCAGCAATGGCAGTGGCCGAGACTGTCAGTGCGGACAGGCTAGTGGGGCAGATGCTTCTTGTCAACCAAACGAACATCAACTTGGTTTACAATGAAACGTTAGCTTTAGTTGGAGCAGAATAGAGGCCACTGGAAGGAATAAGAGCCCCTGAATCACTTCAGAACAGGCTAAAACATGTGCCCACCCAAAAAGGAATCCAAAATCCTCCTTTCAATATAAGAACAAAACGGCTAGGCCTAAACGATCTTATAATTCCTGTCTACATATGGACAAGTCGGCATTCTGTTGATGAAATATCATTGCTTTCTCATGTTAGCGTTCGAGCTATTCAGGAAATACGCGACAACCCATTGCGTCAATTAAGTCTATGTAAGATATTCGGTAGGAGAATGAAATGAAACCGAAAAGTTTTCAAGGTCACAAAAAAGATTCTTTGTTTAATAAGCATTCTCCTGCTTCCATAATTATTTCTGTGTTCGACAAGAATAGGTTGCACACTTGTCTCCAAACAATGGATGACAGAAGTGTGATTGGAGTCCTCCGAGAATCGTTTGGAGGAGATGTAAGTTTGGAGCACATTTATTCGACATTGTAATAGATAAATTTCCTACCTCGACTTCTGTTATAAATTTCAACTACTGCTCACTTGGCTCCAAATAGTTAGGTGAGCCAATACCATTCACGTAGTACTACTATCGGGCAAACAATTACTCTTGTTTCCACAGAATAACGAGTCATTGTGGTCAGACGATTTCCGGAGATGGTTCAAAAAGCTACTTAGGTTGAGCTTTGCCTGTACTTCTTGTAGCTTAGATTTACAGCCAGTTCGTTTCTACACGATGTGCTAGTATCCGCAACTAGGCTCACTTTTTCAGTTGTATACACTTTCAACAGAAAACCTAATCTAGTAGTGGGAATAACTCAACGAATACGAGGATGCACTGAGAAGCTATTTTTATGACTGATTGATGTCTTTATTGAGTCGGCCGTCCTGCTGTCCTTGTCGAAGCATAATTTATATGCGAAGAATCCAAACTAGTGGGTGTTCACCTATTTCTGTACACTCAAACAGTGTTTCATATTACTAGGAAGAAGGTAAAATTACGCATTGATTAGTACGCGATAATATGATGACTTGCCATCACACATAGACATATAAGACAATTGCGACAGCAAAAACTCACTTCTTCTGTATGTTTTTTGGATAACTTCGGATGATTTTATATATTTGCTCATCTTTTTGACAAAGGCTGACAAACGAATCATTTCGTAAAATCATTTCGTATGAAATAATGTTTTTCAAAGGTTACTATCCGAAAGAATGCAATATTTTGTTTTTGACGTATAATACATGTAGCTTTTGAACTGGTCAGCGTTCTTGTGTGTTCCGCCATTTTTGAAACCACTAGACGTACAATTTTCCCGAAGGCAGTTTCGCACACCCACTTCTGTCACTATAACTAAAATCCTTTGGGTAAATAAAACCGTGGGACAGATCAGAATTAAAGGACGTGCAATGAGAGCCGATTTGGTGGAACTGAAGATTTTAAACTGCACACAGGTTCAAGCCAACATCAAAAATTCTCAAAACCGCCAATCTGTTTCCGCAGGGGAGGCCCAAATCTGTAAACGCTATGACAATTATCACTTTAGCTGTGAATGCACGCCGCCTAAAGAGATGGGCTGTGGTGACCTGCCTCGAGAAAACGCGATTGCCTATGAGGCGTGTGAGATATGCCCTTTTGTAGAATCCTTCTAGAAAACCTGGTTAGAGGTATATAAATAAAAAATCATTGAGGAAGCGAATGCTAAGTTAAGATCAATTTCTTTACAAGTCCGAACGCTTCTCGATGAAATGCCGACCTCCCGCAATGTAGGAATTAATTTACAGTCTGTTCTATGCTTATCAATGTTGAAACGTCATTTCGTAAATATGCAGTGAATTCAGGCGATAAGAAGTTCTGTAGACCGCACAGGTGGTCTCATGGCGATTAACAATCAATGATTGAGCTGTAATATCCCTATGCGGCCCTGCAATCAGGATAGATCGGTGCACACAACTCTCATGTTATTGAGTATTCCCGACATGACATGTGCCCGTGAGCTTTGCTCGATGCTCATCTAACCCATTTCCAACAGTCGGATGTGCCAGCACATGGACCTGGTGTATTGCCGATTATTCTCATTATTACCATTTTGGTATCCTTGTTTTCGTCGGTCAGAGCCCTCAACATTTGTACATAATTTTTCCCCAATAAGCAGTCCAACAGGATTGCAACATCTAGGCATTTACCTTTAAAACCTCAAATAAGGGCAGCTAGGGATTATTATAAGGCTACGGGAGTTAAATATATACAGCCTCATAAATTCGTGAGCTACGAAACTCTCCTACACAAATGCTGCTTATTGTTCGCATTTGAAGTTCTACGTTTTGTAGAATGGAGCAGATCCGCAAACGAACTCATAAAAAGATCTCCGATACTATTCCTATTTATCGGATCCAGCGTAACTTAAACGAAGGGTTTTAGAACCTTTCAGTTAAGTGAACCAACATGTATGCCGTTACATCCACATCGATTTAGTTGCCTACTCCAGTGCCCATCATGTTGTCCGAATGGTCCCCGGATCTTTTTTGTGACTATAGCTGCCATCAGCGCGATGGACGAGTAAAATCACCTGTATAGATAAGATGCTAGACAAGCTGGTGATGGGCACTAGTCTTACAGAGACTGTAACTGTTAGCCTCCTTTGCATCCCACCGCGACTACATTTTAAACGGTTTCCTCTTCATTAAAGTCATTGGTCAGCCCATTTCTGTGTACTAAACTAGCCGACCAACGCACTGACAGATGTTTTATTAGTGCTGTGTGAAGTAAAACATTTTGCAAAGCTAGACAGATTTTACAGTACACAGTAAAACTCACGAAACGCTTACCGGAATTGCTTCACCATAATCCTATATCAGATAATCGATAGAACTCAGATATACGTTCTTTTCCTCCTGCTGCTATTAAACACGTGTACCTCCCAGAACTCCTGTCTGTCCTGTCGCAATTTGAGAATATAGTTGATAGAAGTTGGTTCAGACCCTTTATAAAAATTTCGACGAATCGGCAGTGTTCTGGTGACGTTCACCATAGTTCGATCTGCGCATTCTGAAGAACGTAAGCTAGCTTTGGCTCCAAATCCGCAATTTTTGGGGTCCTTATTCTAATACTTAAGATAATCACAGCTGAAAACATTCGTCAACTTGAAGCCTAAATTTTCGTCCACGTAATCCTTCTGATGCAACGTGTGAATAAGCAGTCTACTTTCGGAAAAACAAAAATCTTTTCCCTTACAGGAAAATTCTGATTTGCGAATAAATTTAAGTGTGTGTCCTAGGAGGCAGCAAAAGCCAGCAGGCAACCCTTTTTAACACATTTGTAATTTCCAGATCTAAACAAATATTTTATAAGTAACGGCAAAAATACCCTTCAACAACCTTTAAGCAGACGTCAAGGCATGATATATGTGGTTTAACTTCTGTCGATGTGCGCTTCAGGAAGGTAAGTGTGTTCACATAAGCCGCCCGAGAACCATTATATCATTTGTTTCGTCATTCCCCAGTGCATTTATGACTTTAAGACTGAGATTTAAATTAAGCACAAATAGTGGAAATGATTCCAAAATAAAAAGGAGGTTGGCTGTTTTGCTTCTAGCAGAAATTTTGCCAATATCAGCAGAGGAAATACATGATAGGGCAAAATAGTCCAATTTTCCTTCTGACTTAACTCTGGAAAAACATTACGGATGCGGAAATTCTTCTGTAAAATGCCCAGTAAACCACATTTTTAAGATGAAGAATTTTTAGGGGATACTCGCATGCGCAAAAGCATATTCATCAAAGAAATTAATTAGGAATATCTGTTTTCCTCGACGACTAGGTTTCATGTTTGGGTAAGAATATAAATACGACCAAAACTGTCAACTCCAGAAAAGGGGTCGTTCGGAACTCACTAATAAGTGGAAAATTTAAAAATTTCTCTTCTCTTAAAATTTGGATACATGCAAACTACAGAATCTATCATTTTGAGCAATCGATGGAGGGAAATAACAACGCAACGTAGTTAGCGACATTTCACAGAACTTCAAGTTTAGCGCATACTTCAACCACATAAAAGCACAGTAATATAACGGAAAGAAATACTACGGATAAGCAGAAAATGGCACGCCTCCAACTGCAACTGCCAATTTAATTTCATATTCTCAGCCAACTATCGGCCTTTTGATATGTAAACATAAAAAACATTAGTTCAGCTATATTTCTGCGGGCAAAATTAAGCGAAATCATCTTCGAGGTCATTGGCCATATCTCAATGAACAAAAAAGCAGCCATAGAATTTTCATGATATAACCTCGAAGCACATCGCTAAACATAAAGCAGTTGACTGCCTATCATGCTGAATTGTACATAAGACTTTGAAAGCTTGTCGAAAAGGGTCCGTTAAACGCCGTCGTGTTGACGACTTTTTATTAAATTAAGTTGTGAATTAGCATACAATAAATACTTCTCTAAATTAAGTTGACTCATTTAACGCAAAATTTTGCGTTTTCGGAATTTCCGGTTTTCGCAAAAGCTTGTAATTTCTAACCAGCGTACTACTATTTTTACTAGCTTTTGTTTTATTCTTTGAATAGTTGCGCACTTTGTGCTATGAATTCGGCTCGATCACATATCTATGAGAGAATTTTGCATGATTGCGTGTAGGTCATCAGCTCGACCACACATTGTGGGTGGCGAATTTCACACCAACTAAAATTAACACATAAAATTGAGAAATTACCAGCAGAATAAGAGTGTTCTATAGTGCATAAGGAAATTCGATTTGCATTCGACAGAATTAGATATTCAAATGATTGTCTCAGAAATATCCTAAACACAGTCGGGAGATTTACTCATCCGAAACGACCACCAAAAGCGTCTTACGTAATTTTTCCACACATACGCAGTGCTCGACATTTTCTACCTAAATGTCAACCCAGTCATTACAACGTCACAACAAAAGTCCTTCCATTTCCTATTATGCACTTGTTTTGGCGGCAGCCACGATAAACTGAGTTAACGAAGTTAAACACCCTTTATACTACGACTAAAGCCTCAAACTGCCAGTGCTGCTTCATATCCGGTGCACTAAGTCATCTTTGCTGTTCACAGTGATAAGAATTTGAGTATAATAGAAGTTTGGGATGCTGCCGCCGCCTACAATGAAATAATGCACTTCCTTGTTTGTTCCAAAAATTATCCAAGCATATAGTAGAGCAAATTTTCAGGGTTGAAATACACTCAAAATTAGTCGTTTCTGGTTATCTTTTGTCATGGCTTGGGATGACTCAGGGTTTGAGGCCGAGTAACTTGCTTCAGGGAGGAGGATAAGGCCTAGCGTTCTAATATCCGTGTTGTTTTTGGAATTTTGACGTGTAGGCCAATTTTCCGACCTAACTTTATCGTCGGTAAAAGGAAAAAGCGATTTTTTTTTACTCACCCGACTCATATTAAGAACAACGAAAACGATCAGGCGCCATGCGAACAAAACTAACGCGCGAGAGAAATATAACATTAATGTTTCGCAATGATAGTTTGCAGACGAGCTAAGGTCTCAAAACTCACCGTCTGTTTTGGTACCATGTTTTAACTTGCGTATCATTCAACTTCAGGCGACTGGCCAGCTGAATGCGGTCCTGGACGCTAAGGTACTTTTGTTTTTCAAAGTTTGCCTCCAATTCTGCCAGTTGGGTATCGGTGAAGGCCGTTCTCGCCTTGCGGGGCTTCTTTACGGACTCTTCGATTGTCGAGGAGGGCGAGGGCGGGGAAGCATTTGAGGTTCTGACAACAGCACTCGTACTTTCAGGGACCTCTTGCCAATGACCATTTTCGGCGAAACTGTGTGCTACCCCTTGCGTGAGCCAATGACGAATAGAAAACACTCCAGACTCCGGTATCGAGACTGAGACTACTAGAGAATGAAGGGGGAGGGTTTAGAAACACACACGTATAGGATGACCTCTCAATGAAGAGCCCTCCTTGCATCAAAAATCCGTGTATATTTACGCATTTTACCTAGTTTGGACTCTAAAACTGTTTTACCCTATGAAAAGCCCTCATTCTAATCGCTGATTTAAACAAAGAAATCAAGAAAATGCTCGGGAGGCGAAAAAATACGACGAAGTATTATTAATATGTTACTTTTGCTCGGAACTCATACCCACCTAAATGGTTTGAGTTCGGAATGATAAAACGGCAAAAAAAACTAGTCTCGACGTTCCGCATCCGCGCTTCTCTCATCTCAAAGCGACTGTCCTGATGCCGCATCAGTGATCGCGTTTAACTTATGGCCTACAGACCTAGAATATACTGATCTACTCCAAGTTCGCAATTAATTTCTGAGGAAATTAAAAAGCAACGATGTCTCAACTTAGCACGAGTGCCCAGAGACATCTAAGCTAACAAAGTATCTTTTGTGTAATTATCCACTATACTGACAACACAGGTACTAGCTAAAAACTCAGACACCCGTGCTTCGCCGATCTTTTGTCGCTGCCTGATGCAGCTGCGGAGGGGTTCGGTTCATCGGCGAGTCCTCCAGCCTTCCCCATGTGTTTTCTGCTAATACGAACTCCAGTTCCACCTTGCCTCGTTTAATTTCCGAGGAAACTAATGCGCGAATTGATTAGCCGAACCCCTCACAGCTGCATCAGGCAGCGGCACAACATCGGCGAAACACGCGTGTCTGGGCTTTTAGCTAGTACATGTGTTGCCAGTAAAGTAAGTTGTATACTATTGGTTGCCTGTTGACGGTTTGTGCATATTACGCGCAGCAGCCGATGTACATTAGTTCAAATAGTTTGGACCGTGCCTGAAAAGAGCTATTCCGAGGAATCTCCTCCAAGTTCGCGCATTAATTTCCTCGAAATTAAATAAGATAAAATATCTTTTATTTTGAGGAACGTTGCTTCTCCATCAACAAAGCTCATGCAAAATTCCTCTCAGTACATCAATCGGTGGGAGAGGAAATCGCAGAGAGGGTGTAGTTCTGAATGAACATTTCATTCCATAGGAGACACACTCACATGAATTTTTCGAAGGACGATCCTCACACTCTTCAGCAGCTTGTGGTTGGTCTTCTTGGCCCCGCGATATTGGGAGGCTGCAAAGAATGTGAGATGGTAAGCAACTTCCACAATTTTTCGTACCTAGCCTCTTTCATGATGCCGCGTCTTCCTAGCTTAATGGTTGTTGGACCGGTATCTACGTCCTTAAATGGTTCACTCCTCTTAGGACGCTTTACTAGGAGGTCATCTATCATGAAAGATGTGACGGGCTTGTTCATTTTACCAAGAATTCTATTAGAGTGCCGAATAATAAAGCTGTAGTGGTAGGTAAAGCGACAGCATCATCTGATTCGCTGATTTGACCGATAGACACCATCACCGGTCTAGTTCACCCCCCCCCCCCAGCGGTGTGGAAACTCCTTTCACCCAACCCTTCCCATTTCAAAGCAGTGGAAGGTCTCTAAGCCCGCTACGGGGTGGGGCAAATCTCCCTCATACAGTCACCGTGACCACCAGGCTTTAAGCGGTGACACGCGTGGACGCGCCTTTCTGCCCGAGCTTGTGTGCTCATTGGTCAAACATTGACCAATTAGGGTTGACGTTTGCGTTTACCGAAATGTTACCCTAGGCATGATCGGCCGCAGCAGAGGCAATGGGATCAAAAACGGATACCAACGATTTTGGTATGACCATGGTTTCAAAGGAGATAAAGTAAACTCCGGGCGGGGTCTTTGTCAGGAAAACATATTGGCTTCTAAGGTCTCATATATCTCCAGGGTAGTCAAGAGCAGTTTAATTCCTACTCGTAAGACTAAAATCAGGAAGGCGTGTCTGCGAACGTTAAATCGTAGGTAATAGAAGCCCTCTGTCAGAACTGCCCTCCTTGATAAGTATTCAGCATTGAAAACCGGTAGTTGAATGTGACATTGGTGATTGTAGCACGTCTGTTTAGACGAAGATACATTTTCAGCTAATAACCCTCAGGCCTATACGCATACACGGGGCTTTGAGAGTGGCTGAACTGGGGTGCAGATAGGGAGTCTAAATGAACTAGCGCCAAAATTTCCGCGACGTCTCGTAACGCGCTGTCTGAATTTACATGATTCGCCTCACACTGGATGCCAATGGGAGGCTGGCCGAGTCTTGCTCTTTTAAGTAGGGGAACTAACAGCGCATTGTGGCGAGGAGTAGGTCGAGAAAATGCGCTCATCTCACTTGTGTCCAAAGTAGTCTTCAGCCGCTTAGACTTATCATTACCTCTTAAGAGGTGGGTGTGGTAGGAAAGAGTAACAATACTCCTGTGACGTGCTTTTTTCCTATCATTTAAACGAGGTGCATTTAAGCTGACACGATACGTCAAAAGTCGTGCCTTGGATTACTGCTGCCTGACGAGAAAATTCCATTTCTAACTCTGGACAGTATCCTGCAGAGATTCCTCCTCGAAGTGACTATCAATGTTGAAAGTTCAAGTTGGTTGGGAAACCGAACAAGTACATGTGGTGGAAGGTTCAAATCGGTCAGGCTGCCTGTTAAGCCAGTGCACTAAATTTCCTATCCAGCAGTGTCGCTGAAGCACAATGTGACTAGGAATGAAGATTGCAGCCAGTGTTCGGCAAGTATCTTCACATAGTCCTATTCGTGTAAATATCGCCCCTATCTCTCCCAGGTTTCGATGGCTCTTATTGAGGACGACGGGCAAGGAAACGTACTGAAATGCTGGCTCAGACACGAGCAATCCGACGTAAAAATGTGGTAGCAAGGTAGATGACCCCCCTAAACTAATTAAAAGTAATTTAAATAAAGTAGAAAATGCGGGAGTTATCTGTCGTTGGACAAAAGAACTCAGCACAGGCGGAGGGGAGGACCTGTTTAATGTGCTTGGTCTTGTACTCTCATGATAGTTCCAGACTTTCATTGAACTAACTTCACAGTCAATTCGGCCTCCTTATTAGCATCATCGTCATCAAACATTTATTGTTTGTTTTACCAACTAAGGAAAACTAATACTTTGTTATGTTTCTAAAATGCAAATTCCCCCATCTCAAGGAGGTACACGAATAAGATTTTTTAGTTTTGAGTGTTATCGAAGTTACTATCCACTTCCAATTCGAGGAAGTGCCTACCAAGCATCTCACTGTTATTCTGTCCCGATCAACACTCGAGAGATGTTCTCGACGACAAAAGCGAATCATGAATGATATTGCCTTTTTCAGTTTCATGGTCCTTGTCATTACGCCGCTCTAGGGTCACTTATGAGTCCGCCTGTGTGATGAAGGGCACAATTTAATCGCACTGTTACGTTCTGCATCCATTCTATTTCGGCTAGTGTAGAGGACAGTGAACTTTGCCTCATTAAATAGGCTAATCTCCCAGCCGAAATAATGCCAACGGAAATGTTTCATGCATCTGGGCTGGAAAAAGCCCACAATACGAAGCCTCACGCACAACCGAGTAACGGTCCTAGAATTTCTCTGCGGTTGTTCTATCATCCCGTGAAGGCTTCGTCGCGGTCTCGATCTGATAACCGACATTCTGGAAAACTAAATGAGGCTGAATGAGTGCCGGAACAATCTGTTTGCTAGTCTGAGCTCCCAATGTCTTACAGGTGATCGTGGTTTCACTAAGTGCTTGCAGTACGCCCGCTGGCAACCAAGACCTCTGTCTATGAAAGCAGTTTTCTACGCCGAGCCTGAAGCAGTCATTCGTGATTTCCACTCTGAAGAAAAATTGGCTGAAATATCTTCTTTCGCTGATGAAGCACCGAATTTCAAATAGGAATGGGTGCCCTGGAGGTTTGGCGCAAGTCAACAATGTCCACTGTTATGCACATCAAATCACGTAATTAATTTGGGATTTGGAAAGAGGATTCTAACCTTCCGGAAGGTTGTGGACGGTTAAGTGTTCTTTTCAAGAAGAGGGTCAGAAAATGCTTCCTTTCAAGAGAAATTCCTGGATAAATGCCGAGAATACTAGTGAGACTGTTGCAAACATCTCGTTTCATAAATATTGTATAAATGTTGAGTCAAACTTCCGTTTCCCACAAACAACCCACTGGTCAGCCCCATACTTGGTATGCGTGCTTAGGCAAAACACAGCACATGAGGAGTTACGCGCACTTGTCCATGAAGGGAAATGTGCCATTCTTGGAGAAGTTATCTGTTGACTCATCGAATGGATGGCAAGCTGTAGCACCTGAATCGAGTATATACGTGACATGAAGCTGTGTTTAACAAATTCATTCAGAGTATGCATTCGTCCAGGCGCACCTGTTCTTGGACCGCTAGGGCAAGTTGCGTGTTCGACTTTTCAATTTTGTCTGTATTTCATTTTTTAGAAATAAATAATCAAACTGAAGGGGGTAAGGGTATGGTTTGCCCTCGGTGTAGGTATAATGGTACACAAGACGGCCTACTGCATTTATGTAAGTAGGCGTTGTTCGGTTACTTTTTCATCCGTGTACCAATTAGGCTTGACCTGCGTGCTTCACCGGCCTGTGCTGCTGACCCTGCAAACAACCGCCCTGAGAACCAGACGCTGCAGAAATGTCTATATAGACGCATCATCGTGTTCCTCAAGTCGGACGTGTTAGATGTCATGCGAAAGTTTTGTCCGCGATCAACAACATACGCGAGACTGGGTATTTTGAGATTACTTCATACATAAGAAAATTCTTACAGCTGAGAGAATTGGCCGTTGTGTACCAGTCCCATGGGATCATCAATTGTTCGGCTGATTCACGGGATACACCTCCGCCATGTGGGACAGTAAGGTTTCCCATGCTTATTTTAGGCCGGCGGCGTTGAGTCCAAACCATAGACGATATTGCATCTCGTCAATATGGGCTCAGACAGCTCGGCCTGACAGAGGGCCGCCTTCATGTCATCTTCTTTTCAGGTAGCTCCAGTAAGCTTCAATTGCATTGGTATGGCGGCCTGTGGTTTTGTCAACAAAATCTCGACTATGGTTTACGGTATAGTGTTCATAGCCCTCCGACGGCAGGCGTGAGTAGGTCTTCCATTCATCCGTTATAATCGCGCTGCCCTTTGCCACCACTTTGTTATTACCGGCCTAAGGGCTTGCCATGTTCTATCATTCACTTGATCGACTGTTCCCTTCTTTTGTTTCGTGTCGTACATCCCGAGTATCCATAACTGTCTCTTTTGCCTGCCGACGTTGTATTTCCGGCGGTTTACCAGCGTGTAATCGATCTGTACTCCTACACCTGGCTCACCAAGCAGTGCGGTTTGGCTAAGGAGGGTCACGGAACATATATTTTGGCATATGGCGTACCACTCTACTGCCGTTGCATGGCATAATCCCACTTTCCTTTGACATTGCCGCACTCTGGCTCCTCTTAAGAATGGCAGGCAGATTTTTAAAACCTTCTTGATTGTTAGCTAGATGTCTTCAAATATTGAACCTTTTCGCAGTGCCTTCGTGTTGCTACAACGGTTACATCTGAAAACGAAACCTCCAATATTTTTCCTGAGAATTTGGTGTCGCATTGTCCAACGACATCTACATTTTCAACTTTTGGGCACCACATTATCGGAGTTCACTATTTCCATTATCTCCTCAACTTCCGTTGGTGTGTACCCCTTGGGGTCCTCTGCGTCTTACAGTTAGTTCAGGCGGTGGTCTACGTAAAAAAAGAAATTATTCTACGGTTTATCGTTATTTCTAATTATTGCAACGACCTTTCACTTACAGATACTGATGTTTATATCTACATGGACAGACTGCTTTTACGTGTTTCAATATTCAACGTGGGAATTTGTTTTTGATGCCGAAATCCTCGATATTTACCATGACTTATTTCCATTATATATTCCTACATATCTGTAAGCCATGTCTATTTGCATTATTAGACTTGTATTTCCTTTTTAATTTATCTTACTGTCATTCGGCTTACCTTGTCATCCTTCCTTCTTGTTCTTTGTTTTGCATCTTTAGTAAATTCTTCACAGTTATTGCCTCTCCTGGTATAGCTCCCAACCTGCGTTATTTGCAAGTCTGATTACTGCCCACGGAAAATTTCGATTGGCTGCTAGTTCCTCTGGAACCCGAGCTTCCGCTATTCAGTTCACGGCGGTTTATTCAGTTGGATGAGTTACCCGGACTTCTGTTTTTAGTTAGTTGTCCGAATTCGTGCACTTGCTTTCCGGTTACAATCTAAGCACATTAGAAGACTTTTGATGTTATTTTACATGCTTTTCTCACTATTAATTTATCGATTTCCTTTTGTGTGCATCCGAAGGCCCCGCCCGTATAAACCCTA